CCTACTACTCTCTCTCTCTCTCTCTCTCTCTCTCTCTCTAAACTCTGTGCCATGCGAGGCGAAAAGCTCGAGGGAGATCGATCGGGAAATGGTTGATGGAGATGAGGGTTTCGATTGAATCGATGTCGTCAGACTGCTATGCTCTATGATTGAGCATTGTTTTGTCTTGGGAAACAGTGATTTAGTTTTGGTGACGGAATTGAATCGGGCTCGGTGAAACGCTCGTGTCGCGCTAAATGTCGTGACCGATTACTCCATTCACGACTCCGTTAGCGACACGACTTGAATGAGCTCAGCCCGTGAACCCGGTTGCAGCCCACAACTCGAGGTGTGGATCGCCTTTTTTGACCCGGACAGCATCCACGCTATCCCAGTTCTTCCATTTGCCCCTATCGTGGGACCCGCATCCGATTGAGGTGGCATTCCCTCCCATCCGAGTACATTTGTTTGTATCGTCGCACCAAATTCGACCTGTAAAATAACAATAACGAAAATGATGATAATAATAATAATTATTATTATTATTATAGTAATAATTGTAGTTTTTTCTCACTATAATTTGATAAAATAGGTTATAAATTAATGTCACCACTTTCTTTTGTTCCCCATTAAATATGTTTAATATGAAAACAAACCGAGTTGATTTATAAGACCTACTTATCTGTACTATTATTAATCTCTACCTAATTGGTACTAAAAGATTAATTTTATCAAATTAATGAATTATTTATTTCATCAAATTAATGAATGTAAAAAAAATAATTAAATATTTTATATAATATTATTAATTTAAAATTAAATATTTTGGATTAGTAGTTTAGACTCAACTGTAAAATACAGTCACAAAAAGAAAAAATAACTCCAAAAATTAAGGGATTTTTAATATAGAAAATAGAAAATTGACAGCTTTAAAATTTTAAGAATATCATGTAATTCGAGATCGATGAAGATAAAGAAATCTTCAGAATAAAATAAAAAGAAATTATACAAAATGGCATTCATCAATCTCATATTCATATGTTACGCACTGACCTTCTTCCGCAAGCTTAGTTAGTCAACACCTTCCACGCAAACCTGACAGCGACACTCCAGAAGAAGACGACTGACACCTAATCAATCCTCCCCAAAGTCCGCACACACCGCTGCCTTCCATCTGTCATCAAACCCTTGGGACACAGATGCGGAGAGGTTGGCAGAGAGACAAGCCATTAATCTCCCATCGTCATCTTCCCCTCGCTGTGGGACAACTGGAGGCCTAGGCCTTCAAGAACCAGTCCTTGTGGGACCAGCATCGTTGGGTCTCGATATTCCACGGACAAGAGGAATCAAGAGTCGAGTAAGGATAGACGACGATGGCTTGCAGCCTACGCACTCACAGTCTCCGAGATGGTGTTCAGGGCTGCAACAGGTTGAGGTGAGGTGCTCAGGGTAAAAGTATTAGACCACGATGGTGGGAGGCTTGGATGAGCACCCTTATCTTAGCCATGCCATGATTAGTTTCTAGAATTTGGTGATGTCATTGCTTATTGAATTATCGTGAGCAAGAAAAAAAAAAGACATTGGGTGATGTTATGTTTATAACATCTAGAATGTGTTTGACTGGGTGGATTGCACAGATGGTGCTCCTTATTTGACTTGAAAGAGAGAGAGAGAGAGAGAGAAATCACTTAACTAGTTGGGTTGATTTAATTACATCAAAGATCATACTATATCTGAATTTATTAATATGAAAAGAGTTTTAAATTCATGCAAATCAAGATGATTTGATAATTTCAGTGATGTACTCATTTATATAATAAAAAAAGATGATTAAACTCATATTATAATAATTCGAAATTATTATGATAATGACTTGAAATAATACTATGAGGATTAGTCTAATCAATGTAGATTAGTTTGCTAAGCTGCGAATGTTGGATAGTCATATGATAGCTACAGAATTAGGATTATTATCATCAAAATAGTGAGCAGTGATGAGACCACAACTACTTCAAAGAAATAAAATAATTAGAGATTTCTGGTCCGCTACATTCCCTTCTCTCTCTCTCTCTCTCTCTCACTACATTGATGGTGCAATTATGTGATATATATCACCCGTCAGCCACATCTTGACCGAGTCGTAATGTTGACTCCCAGCACATTTGTGACTTCTGTGTTTTTAGAAACAAGAAACAAAAAAGCCTTGTTTGTGTTTTGTGTTTTTGGCTTCTTTAATGGGAGAGAATTTAAGCGGTCGAGGCGTTTCTTTATGCATGGTTTTTCTGGAAACATAAAGGAGTGTTACCGAAGGCTTCTGTGTTTAAAAGCAAAAAGCATAAAACATGGATGGTTATCGGCGGCGGAGAGACGCAGCATATCGTGGCCGTCTGTCTGTCTAATCAAACGGTGATGATGCATCGATACGCGACGTCCTCCCTTGCACGTGACCAGAGCGGCAACCAACGTCATACCACGTCAAGTGTACGGTCCCGCGGGTGACGTCATTGCTTGCGCACTGATTTCCCGTCGTCTTTACACACGAAAACGCCATCGACGTTGACATTAATTGCACCGACTACCCTCCTCCATCTTCAGGTTCCGCGCTGGTCCGTGCCGTAAATAGGTCGAGAAACAGGGGCTATGAAGGGGAGCGAGGAAGCCGGCGCCGTGGCCAGCGGCGTGATTCCCATCAACCCTCCCCGCCGCGCGTGGTCCCCGCTGACGACGCGGCTTGACGGTCAACGTCATGTTCCTACCCGACTTGGAAGAAATTAAAACCCGGCCGCTGAACCGGGTTTATCCGACCGGCTTTGAAGGACACGTGGCCCGGTCGACGCGCTCATTAAAACGGCCCCCCAACCACTGACGACGCCACCCCGCTTCACTGCCTTCCCTCATCTCCTCGGAGATGGCGGACAACTGCTCGGTGCTCGACCCGTGGATGTACCGCTTCGAGTCGGCGTGGATCAACGAGGCCTTCGCCCGCGACAACGACGCGCTCACCCGAGCCCTCCGGACTTCCATCTCGGACACCTCTTCCTCTGGCGCAGGCGCGCCCTCCGCTTCCCCCGACACCCCTTCCGCCGCCACCTCCCCCAACCCCCTCCTCCTCAGCCGCCGGCACCAGCTCGCTCCCCGGAACCCTCTGGGCGCCGCTCCCGCGGGGCGGGTCTCGAAGCGGAAGTCGCGCTCGTCAAAGCGGTCGCCCACCACCTACATCAACGCCGACCCCGCCCACTTCCGGGAGATGGTGCAGCGCATCACGGGGGTCCGGCTCGACGGGGAGCTGGCGGAACCGCTGGTGAAGCCAGAGCCGGTGCGGCCCGCGGTGGGCGCGCGCGCGGCCCTGCAGCATCTGTGCCTGCCGACGCTCGACACGTCGGCGTTCCTGCTGGACCAGCGCACCGCTGATGTGGGTGACGGCGGCTCGCTGGGGCCGCCGCCCGACGCGCCGGCTTTTGACTTGGCCGCGCTGCTGTCGCCGGTCTTTCCCACCCTCGAGTCGTGGGGCGTCATGTAGCAGACGATTAGCAGACGTCACATGCTCTTCGGCTTTCTTCTTCCTCCCTTACTCTTTTCCTGCCTTTTCTATGTCACACTTGGCTACTCTTCTCTTCTGTTTTCTGGTCGAACACCTGCTGGTGTTTGTTATGTTGATGGGAATACACATGATGAATGGTAGCCAAAGCTTCTTTTCCAAAGAAATCTTGTGAGATCATATCGAACCTTTGATGAACGACTCATCATGTTGTGCTGTGGTTCACATTAGGGTCAACAATTGAAGCAACTCGAAAGTCCAAAAGTAGTACGCAAGATGTACGTGACACTGACTGTACCATATTCTTGACCACCAAACCACGGGCCACAAAACGGTGTGTGGGTTTGACGGCAGACAATACTCATTAATGGTTATTGACTCGATCCAACGCTTTGATCGCCGGTATGCAGTCTTAAGTTGTGAATGACAGCTGCAGGATTCTGGCTGACGTTCTAATTGCGTGAGGATGACGATAACTTGTCATCCACTGCAGTTTGAATCGGCAGTGGTTGACTTTGAACGAAGAGCTTTGGTCTCTCGCTCCTTCGTTTGATCACGGAATGCCATGTCTGCTCACTGCATCAGGGAAGCTCTTCAGTTTCATACAGCCACAGAACAGCAGTCGACGAAGGCAGGGGAAGTCACCATCCTCCACTCCACACCACTCTTCCCACTCGTACATGCCGTCGAATTCAAGCGTCTCCAAGGCCGGGAATGCCTTCGAGTCCCCGGCCCCGCCGCCGTCGCCGCCGCAGAACTCGCGGCCGACGCGCTTGATGCTGGGGAAGTATCTTATCAGCAGGTGCTTGAGCGATGGCAGCTGCCCGAGTGGTGGGAGGATCTCACATTTGCGGCAGTCGTCCAGCGTAATGGACGCTAGTTTGGAGAAGACGGGATCGCCCATCCAGGTGCTTGATAGTTTGCTGCCGTAGTAATGCTGAATCACCAATTCTTTGAGGTCGCCATGAGGACGAAGGCTTTCGAGCATGGCTTCCTGTGATTCCTGGATCTTCCTCTGGCACTGTATCATCTCCTCCCTTGTTCTCTTCGGCTTGTCAGGCTTGCATTCTACATCGATATCGATTCTGTCAATCCACATGTCATCTTCTTCTTCCTCATCTTCCACCACCACCGCCACCCCCATGCATTGTTGTGCTTCATCTTCTTCACCTGCTTCATCATGGCTGACTGCTTCTTCGATGCGACAGTTCATGCATCTGAATCCTGTAGACCTCGGTGCCACGCCACGATGGTAGCAGTCGTCATTGGGATCGCACCACCGGAGAGTCAACTTCTCTATCTGTTCTTTGTGCATCAATCCGGCCGCCTTGGCATCATCAACATCATCAACGTTATGGAGGCCAATGATTCGAAGCTCTCCTCTCAGGTTCACCAACCTCCCCAGCTCTCTTATCACGTAGTGTTCCGACTCCTTCCCGATGTAAACTATCGATAAGGTTTGCAGACCGACAAGCCTCCCGATACCATGATGCAGATGAACATGATCGCAGGCATTTAGCAGATCAACGTGACGGAGGTTTGTCAGATACCCAATGCTCTTCGGAAGTGCCGTCAGACCACCACAACTTCGCAGCTCCAACGTCTGCAGATTGTGAAGCTTGCCCAACTCCTCCGGCAACCATCGAATTCTAGTGTTGCTGAGTCCGAGAAAACGCAGGAGCTTCATGTTGCCAACTGAATCCGGCAGATGGTCGATATCTGTGTCGCTCAAATCTAAAGCTCTCAGGCATTTCAGATATCGGAACAAGTTATCTGAGAAGGATAGATGAGCTATATCGTCATTGTAATGGTACCACCAGTTGCTCTTGAATGCCGAATTGACTGACTTGATCACAAGCAGAATTGTGCGCAGTGAATTAGCTTCACTTTCCAGCTCCAAATTCACATCCGCGAGGGAATCCACGGCGACCAAACACAGATGCCGGGCCTCCTTAGAAACAGAGCAAACCTTCATGTTCTTCTCCCTGCAACACTGTTCGCCCAACACGAACTCTGCCAAGTCATGAATGAGATGATGCACCACAAAGGTTTGATCAGCAACATGCGAGGCCAGAAAGAATGACCTGCTTAGCAATTCATCGAAGTACTCCGAGCCGATCTCTTCCGATAGCTTCCCTTCTCGAGGATGAACAAATCCTTGAGCCATCCATAAACGAACGATTCGGTCTTTCGTGAACAGGAAATCTTTCGGAAACACAGAGCAGAATGCGACGCATGACTGCAAATGTGGTGGCAGGTTGTGGTAGCTTATCCTCAGAGCAGGCAAATTGTGGTTCTCTTCCTCATCTGCATCATTCCAAAGGTTGCTCTTTGAGACACGACTCCATATCTCTGCTTTAGTTTCGGATTGCAGAAGAGCAGCAAGCATTTTTACAGACAATGGCGAGCCCTTGCACTTTTCGACGATCTCTTTGCCGATTCTAACCAAATTGGCCTCTGGATGACCAGTTCGGGATCCAAATGCAAGAGTTTGGAACAATCTCCAACTGTTTTCCTCTGGTAAGCTACTGAGATGATAGAGAGGCATGTTCTCGGTGACAGCAGTGACTCTTTCACTGCTTGTGGCCAGTATGATCTTGCTTCCTCCATGTCCGAGGCTCAGTTGCAGGTTCACGGTCGCCCAGAGATGGAGATTCTCGTCACAGAAATCATCCAAGACAAGCAAGAATCTTTCTTCCTCCAACTCGCGTTTGATGCAGCGGTCGAGATAGTTCGGTTGTGAGTAGATCCAGTGCCCCTTTCCTGAGAACTCGACCCTCCAATCCCTCAACGTGATGGCCTCCATGATCTCTCTTCTCAGCGTCGTCGCGTCGAAATCCTTCGACATGCGAACCCATCCCCGACGGGGGAAGTGCTCGCGAACCCCCGGGTCGTTGCACACGAGCTGGAGAAGGGTGGTTTTCCCTGCTCCAGGTGATCCAACGATGGCGATGACGGGGGGGTTCTCTGGCGTTTCGGACAGCACCAACTCGGTCACCTTCTTCTTGTCTTCCTCTCGACCGAACACCTCGGTTTGTTTCACGACGAACTCACCACATCGTGGCCATGTCCTCTCGGTTGCCTTCAGCCGAAGGCCATCTGTTTGTTCTAATGTCTCACCGAACCGACCCCGTATCTTTTCGATTTCGCATGACAGGGAGGTGACTGAGCTGTGTACCTCTGCTTCTTCCCCGGAGGCGGGAGAGCTTCGTGGTGGCCGCGACAGCTCGAAATCGAGCTCGTCGAGCACGTCCTCAGCATCACAGGCGACGCCCTGGAGCTCCGCTAGCCAGCTCCTCACGCGCTCGTCTCGCCACTGCCTCTCCTCCGCCTGGTCAACGACCGCCTGAACGCGCCGCAGCGTGCTCTCGAGCCGGTTCAGGTCCTCCCGGACGCGGGTCCATGGATGGGAGGAGGTACAGATTGCGGTCTCCAACTCATGGATCGACCGAGACAGGGAAGAAAGGATGGGTGCGGCCATCGAGGCTCGCGGTGGGAGAAGACCATATGTGAAAGGTCGTGCCGATCTACATTAAAAGAAGAGCTTCGACTGCGAAATCCATGGCGTTGCCTCCGCCCCAAGTTTGGCCGTTGAGTCAACGGTTGATGGCTTGGCGCCAAAGTTTATATTTGATTCCTCCCACCAACTGCAAGCCAATTTAAAATTATCAACATTAATTTTTTTATACTTATATAAAATGCTTATTTGCACTTAGTCTAACCACTATAATGCTATCATAAGAAAAGATTCGCTTACTTGGTTTTATCTAAATTGTATAATTCTTACGATATCATATTCCTTGGGAAAGAATCCATCAATCTTCTTCGATGATCCTATGCAATCACAGAGGATCTATAAGAAAAAATAGATTAATTAAAATAAAAATTAAGATTATATAATAAAAATTTTAAAGTAGTAAGATTGAGTGATAACTTGTTCTTGAATATATAATCAAACATTCTTATGACTCAATACCAACCAGAAGATTTTAAGGTGCTATAATAGTTGATGTTTTACGACGTAGGCTATCAGTTAGAAATCAATCCTAACATGTTAAAACAAAACTATTTTAGATTTTTTTATTAATTTTTACATGTTATGTTGTTTAGTGTATAATGCTTGTATGCTTTATACAACAAAAATATAAAATAAAAACATTACCAATAATGTTAAAGTGAGATTGATTAGATAATACTTCATGCCCCTTACAAGCTGCACAACACTCAAACATAAAAATAATAATATAAAAAAAGAAAGAAAGATTGAGAATGAGTCACAATTTTACATTGAACACTTTGACTATTGCTATGACTCCTCTACTACATGTTTAATCCTTTTTGGTTAGAACAGATCTCCTAACTCTTAATTGGTTTATTGATGTTATTGTTGAGTAGTCGAATTTTGATAAGTTAATATTATCTCAACTCATCGATGAAATATATAGAGTTGTTTGAATTGTGTTAATCATCGCTGATATAGATAGATCCCTCTTATGAAAAAAAAAAAGATATTTGTTTTTACAAGATAGACTTATGAGCATCTTGCATCAACTAAGTTTGTTAGAGTCAGAGCATTGTCTCATTGAATTTGAAGTTTTGAAATCTCCATAAAATTTATCTATCAATTTCACTTTTGCTTAGCTATCGCAAGTTTACATGACCTTCGCTTTTCATGCACTCTACTAGAAGATGAAGTGAACAAGCTATCGTTAGCTATCGCAAGTTTACATGACTTTCGCTTTTCATGCACTCTACTAGAAGATGAAGTGAACAAGCTATCTATGGTAGAACCTATCACTAGCGGTAAGGATTTGATAGTTGCTATCTTCTTCCAAATATTCTTTAAAGGATTTTGAAAGTTACAAGGCTATTCTACGGGATAAGTAAGAGAAATGAAGTACTCACATTTTCTTATATGTTGATGAGACCAAGATTACTTGATTTTGCTGTCGAGTGTTTAACTCAACGCATCGAGTTAAGTATTAGCCTTCACTTGATTTTAGCTCATACTTCTAGAACGCTAGAAGTGTTAAATACTCCATGCCTCATTTTGCTACTACTCATAGTAGAAAAAAATATACGACAATTTCATCTCCTCTCGAGTGTTGTTTAATGGACATCATGAACGACACATGTTGGCTTGGAAAACGATAAGCTTCTTCATGTCATTCATGGGCACAAAGTATACACACTTCCATCATCTTATATGCTTGCATTCCTCTAAAGATAGCATACTGTTCTCTGTGTTGCTTGGACTGATCTCACCTATTGCAGTCTCAGTCACACATCTGTCTTCAATTCTGTGCAAATTAAAACCAGAGATCATGTGAAGTGCATGCCCTCCTTCAATCACAAAACAATGCTATTGGTGATGTTCGAGAGGCATCACCTCCTTGCTGAAATGAGCACTCCGAAGTAAGAAGGAGAGAGTTGGCTTCATCTTTCCACCATGGCCACCTCCTCAGTCCCACCATCAACCGAGTGATCCCTGCAAACGATCTTTGTTGTAGTGGTGACCCTCTTCCTGGCACACCTCCTCCATGCCCGGACACACATGTGCACACTCTCGAAGACCTTAAACCTCATCCATGGCCATATCATCATGCACTCCACCACCCCTTGCAGCTCTCTCACAACCTCTCCCATCGACGGCCTTCTCACTACCTTCTCTGCGACGCATCGCTCGGCTACGCTTAGCATACGAGCGATCGGCGTCTTCGTGTAGTCCGGCAACGCTACTCTCCTGTCGCAGACGTCGGCAAGCCGACCATCTCTTATGACCGGCAGTGCCCACGCGACGATCGAAGGAGGATCGCGCTCCATGTCCATCACCTTCCTGGAACTGACGAGCTCCAACAAGACCACCCCGAAGCTGAACACGTCGCTCTCGGGGCCGAGCCTTCCTGACTCGGCGTAGCACGGATCCAGGTAGCCGATGGTACCCGCCGGCACCGTCGAGTTGGGTGGCCGAAATCCGTGGGCTCTCACCGCGAGGCTGAAGTCAGCCAGCTTCGCGTTGCCTTCGCCGTCCATCAAGATATTGGCTGACTTGATGTCGCGGTGGATGACCGCCGGCGACGTCTCGTGGAGCGAAAGGACGGCGCGAGCGGCCTGGAGAGCCATGAGTGCGCGTCGAGGCCACGAAGGCGGGCTCGGGGACGAGTGGAGGAGGTCATGGAGGGAGCCATTGTGCATGAACTCCATGACGAGCAGCTTGGTGGTAGGACTCTGGCTGACACCAATGAGCTCGACGATGCTTGGGTTCTTCACAGAAGCGAGGATGTCGATCTCGTTGTCCAGATTGGCTTCATCTTTAGAGGACTGAATCGATCCCAATGGCTTCTTCACTGCCACGACCTGTCCGCCTCTGAGCCTGCCTCTGTAGACACTCCCATGGCTTCCCTTACCGATCAACTGCTCGACAGCAAAGCTTCCTGTTGCAGTCTTGATGTCCTCGTAGCTGAACTCCTCCATCCTGATCTCTCTCTCTCTCTCGCTCCTCTTCTCTGTTCCCATCTGTTTGTACTTCTCTTGCCGTGGTGGAATGTCCAAAGAGAAGAGAAGAGAAGAGAAGAGAAGAGAAGAGAGACAAACTGTAAAGAGAAGAGAAGAGTAAAGCTGGCAACAAAGCACATTAAACAAAAGGCAAAAAAACAAGGGTATGTATCTGCGGAGCTGCCAAAGTGGAAGGAGATGCCAAGGAATGAGCTTTACAGCATGCAACATCTTGTTCTAGCATTCAACACATGGTTGGATCTTTTATTTCCTTTTAGTGTCTGTACATAAAGTCTCTTCCTAAAAGCAACTTCATGTTGCAACACTTGAGAATGTCCTATCATGAGAACCTTTATGGCTCCTCATGCCAATCCTTGGGGATCCCATGACCAACCTGCAATGACTGTGTGTAGCCTATCACACATTAAAGAAAGATTCAGCAAACATTTTCCAGCATGAAAACTGTTTGTTTCCCTCTTGACAGGGATGTCTGAACTCTGATAGTTGAACATTAACTGACTTCTACTGTAATGGAGACCAGTAAAGATTGAAGTAGATCTTTCAAGGACAGCTCATATGATGATGGAAAATCTTGTTCCCTAATTGGCCAAAACTACAGACTTTTATCCCAAAGTGAGATATCATGAATGGCTATTGGGATGACAATAGTGGTTGAAGATCTTGAGCAAATAAAGGATCTGTTGAGTTGAGGTTGTTGGGTTTGAGGAATGATTGAACTTGGATTGCCTTGATGACCAAACTTTGTGGATTTGGTAGGATGGACCAACCTCATCTCTCCATAACAAAGAATGGAGGGAGAATTGTCATGGAGAATGATTCCAATACTTTGGTCAGTTGTTTAGTGAAAAATGGAAAGCTGTCATGGAGAATTAGACTGACCTTATCATTCCTGTGAATGATTTCTAAGGGTTGCTGCTTTGATATGAAAGCACAACTACATAGAGGCACAGCTGTAAAGATGATAGCTTAGCTAAGCATCAAGCAAGCCAAATTTTCTATGGTTTATATATAAGCTTATAATTCTTAGTACTAGACTTTTGACTTCTATTATTATTGTTTTAGTTTGAACTTATGCAGAGAAATGAGGTAATTATTTTTTTTTTCTATCCTGGATTTCTCAATGATGAAGCAGAAAAATTAAAGGGTTACCGTCAATTTATATTAATGAATGAATATCTACAGATAGTGAGAAAAAGTATCATGATGTTATCTTATCCAACATGAGGAAATATAGAGGAAAGGTGAATCAAGCATGACCAAGATCACAATCAATATACATTTTTAATTTCCAATCACTAAGCAGATAAAGTCTCAATTTATAACTTCAGAGATGAAGAACTCCATTAATGCCTCTTTATGAATCAATTTCATTTGGTTCCAAGAAATTTACAAAAAGGAAATTATGTTCTACACTTGGAGGAAAAGAAACTGATCATTAAATATTTAAGTACATGGACAAATTTAAATATCTGGATTATCATGTTGTTGATTGAATTTCCTGTAAAGCTAAATAAAGAAAAACATCTCATAAGGATTTCATAAACAAAGTCAATGTTGTTCAAGCATAGGAACATGCAAGCAAAATTAAAAAAAAATCAGATAAGTATTTAGTGAAAGAACACACAATGCAAGATTGCAGATTGGTAAATGAAGAGGCAGCTCCAAACCTGCAAAGGCATCTTGGAAGGCGGCCATCGCCCCTTCTTCCTCATCCTCTGCTTGCGCAAGAGCCTCTTCTGCCGAAGCCGTATCTTGTTGGCAAGCTTCATCTTCAACTTCTGCTCGAGTCTCATTTGCAGCTTCGACTCCAGAGGGAGGTTCTCCACTGACACAGCCTCAGGTCCGATTCCATCCTTTCCATCAGGATCCGAAGAAGCACAAACTGTTACCAATCTCCTCTTCCCGAAGGCCGAATGGTGAGGAAATGCTCTCTCTATTAAAGGGTCTTGCTCGAAGGACAAGACTCCTCTGCAACCTCAAAGCTGGAAAGAGTAACATCAAAACGTGGCTACACCAATCATAGTGAGTACTTCCAATTCAAAAGGAAGAATCTAAGAAACAAGTAGACCTATATATAGTCATTCCCATGATAAATTAGTGGTCACAGAAATTAGGCAGCTCCAAGAACATGACATATCAAATGGAATTGAATTAGATCCTCTTCCTGCATCTGTATAGTGATTCGGACAGAACTCAATAGACGATATTAAGCTAAAAGGACAAACATCATCCCACAACCTGATTTTGGTTACAGGAAAAGGTGACATATTGATCTAATGCTACTCATAATCCACACCTAAGAAGCAAGCCCAAGGCAGCAACAGCAACAAACCAACAAACGGCAATTAGAAACAAAAGCACACGGAGTGAAAATAAACTGAAACGAAACAAGCATGCTGAGTGTGGAAATAAGTATACAAAACACAAGATTCACCTCGATAAAGAAAGAAAGGAAAGGGAAAGAGATTGGAAGAATACTTACGGAGGGTTGCTGCAATGGGATGGGAAAGGGCAGGATGAGAGGAGGCGGCGGAAGGAGCGAAGGAGAGGGAGGGGAGGTAGGAGGAGAGCCATGTCACCTCCCGACACACTGGGTTTGGATCCCATTAAAGGATCAGCCTTTATTATTATTATTATATATTTCCCTCTAAAAGGATATCACCCAATCGATCTGGTTCGAAAACAGATGCGACCGGACCGGTTCATTAGGGCGGTTTAGGTCAATCGACCAGACCCGATTCATTCTCGGTTCATGTTAATTTCTAAGCTTAAAAACAGAATTATTGGCTTTACATCCCTCCACTTTAAAGTCTGGGCTTCTTATAAGCAGCTCGCAAAGTGTTGGCCACATCGATGAGAAAAAGGATATCTCACGTGGCGTGGCCCCTTTGAAAGCTGTGCTCCATGGCCACCGCCCGCCGCCGCTTCTTGCGCCACCATGTGCTTGCCTCCCGGCGACATTTTTTCCCTTCTCAGGCTGAGACTGCTTGACTCTTTGTCTTTCATAGAACATAGAAGTTCATTAACAATGCGAACATCTCATGCAAGAAAAACAAAGAAGAGATCTTTTGTGGACTCATTATTATGCTGCTACGAAAGTAAATTGTACAATTCTCATCACAAGGGTCAGATGTCATGTCTTTCACAATGCAAAAGCAAATAATAAGAGCAAAAAAAAAAGAGAAAAAGGAGGTTAACAAATCGAAAATGACCTGGTTTTGGATTTGACAGTGGTTGGTGGACTGACTTCACTCGGGAGCAGGTACAAGTCATCGAAGAACAAAGGTAAAAAAGATGGGTCACATTGGCTGAGCAAAGAAGAAGAACGTGGAAGAAGAAAGGTTCCGTGGAAGCTTTGGAGTAGTAAGTACCTGAGCGGAGAGAGGTTATGGTGGCAATTGATGGCCAATTACCGAATACAAATCAACCCCATGTAAGTAGCAGCAGCAGCAGCGTGTTTCGGCGGTGCAAAGAAGCTGAGGAATGCGTCACCTTCTCACAGGTTTGTAAAGAACGACGGTCACATACTTGGACTGGAACCTATGGCTCAGGCCAAGGGCCACCATCGACTGGGAAGAGGATCCTTTCTCTATGAAAAGATGGTTGAGGACCACGTGCTGGGGCTTCGGCGACGCTTCTTCATCAGTGTTCTGCATCCCAAGAACGGTAAGGTGCAGCTGGGATGGAACGAGTGGCGGTTCCTTGGCAAAATCTTCATCTGTGAGCGACCAACTGTAGCTGGAGTCAGGTGAGGGCGGCAAATCAAACTCAGAAATGCTCTCCACATTTTCAGGAACATAATCCTGGATAAAAGAAAATATGATAAGAAAAGAGCTATCTAGTTTCCAGCAGCAGAAGTAGAGATAAGACAAGATCCAAGTCATAGATTCAACCTAATCCACTTATGACATGATAAAGATGTGCAATATCATTTTCCCAGGAATCAGGTGTCAAGGATTCTCATTTAGTTAAAAGCATACCACTCCTGAAGAAACAATTTTATGCAAATAAAAGAAAGAAAAAAAATACTCACATGGACATCAAGGAGATTAGTGATGTTCCCCATCTCATCACTAACAAAAGGAAGATCAGGAATGTATTTTAATTGTCCATCCACGATGAACTTGTATCGGTATACTCCCGAAGGGAGAACCATTAAAATGGCATGGTCCTTGCCTGACCTCTGCAAATGCTTCCTGAATGGTAAAAGTTGACAAATTCATAATTTTCATTATTTGTCTCTCGGTTACAAATCAAAATACACTGACCTAAGGAAAAAAAAAAACCTGACCTTGAAGTCCAGTCGTCCCATGATCCTTCTACGAGGACAACATTTCCCCCTCGGTTCCATGTTATCAGTGTTGGAATTCCCTTTTCAAGGGGACCATCCGAGAGTTGATCAGGCTCATTCATCCATAGTTGATTAAATACAGGAGGGGCATCAGCAGCTCCATGCAAGGGAGGTACCGGAACCTGAAACATACATTTATCAATTTTGTTCTTTGACAGAGATAGACATGCTAACTTATGGCATAATTTCTTGATCGGTAACTCATAACACATGAAACAACAGTCATGTTCACTCAATCATGGACCTCATAATATATCAGTTCAATTAGAGAATTTTAAAGCATAATAGGCAAGATCAAAAGTTATCGATCAGATTATAAAATTGTTCATCCTATTCAAGCATATTAGGTAGGGAGAACAAAAATATGCCTTAAATATCTTCTGAATGGCACATACAGCCCATTTTTTTGTGGCACGATAGAAAGACTTCCAGAAAGAAAGATTATGATATGGCCACTAAAGAAATACAAAGTTAACATCATTCGTGCATAAACAGAAAATATATTTGAATTATCTAAACATGGATGATATTTTAGAACTAATATACTACAAGACTTCTGATCAAGGTTCGTAATTTCGTACCGTACCGAAGTATCGAGTTCAGCTCGGTACGGTATGGTATAAATATATTGAGCGGTACGCTTTGGTGTACCGCTCAGTATATATATATATATATATATATAGTTAAAAAATAAAAAAAGGGGCAACGTCGCGTCGTTTCTTCTCCCCGCGAAGCCTCGGCAACGTCGTTGAGGTTTCTTCTCCCCACGCCGAGGCTTCTTCTCCCCGTGCGGGTTAGGAGAAGTCGCCGACGATGCCGAGGTCTCCCCGCGGAGCCTCAGCAACGTCGCCGAGGTTTCTTCTCCCCATGCTGAGGCTTCTTCTCCCCGCGTGGATTAGGAAAAGTCGCCGACGATGCTGAGGCCTCATCACCTCAAACGAGGAGGCGACATCTCATCGGCAATGTCCGACGAGGGAGGGCGGCGACGGATCGGGATCGTCAAGAGAGAGCAACGGTGGATCTCCAGGTTCTCCCTTTTCTTATCTCTCTTCTTCCTTCTCCCTCGGCTAACACCGCCCAGTAACGAGCGGCAAAAACCCTGCTTTTGATTATGTATGACAATTATATCAGAAAGTGAAACCTTTGAAATGTTGCTCTGTGCTAAGGAATGCAGAATGAAGAATTCAACCAGTTAGTCTTTAATTACATTGAACACTCGAAATAAAACTCCAAACATATAGAACTTTAAACATGATGGATTCAGTGAGCTACCAGGTTGAAACAATATAATTCATGGTACCAAATGAGCCTGACCAAAATGAGTTTGACATCCATATAACCTATCAAAGTGTATTATAACAACAAAGGCCAGCAAAGCAGAAGATATCAAACCCTGACGACTGTCTCGAGAAGGACTACCATAAAGCATTACATAACACTAGTTTCAAGTACACATGTATGGATTAAGAAAAGTATTCTGTTCTTTCAACATATTAGCCAGTTACCACAAAAACATCCTTTAAAAAGACGCTGGACATTTACTAAACATTCATTTCTGCAGCGGCTGAGGCAAACTTTCTGGACTATCACATAAGATTATTCTTGATCTTGTAAAATTAAAGTAGTATTGCAAACATGGGAGTCACAAAAGAGAGAGAGAGAGAGAGTGAGAGAGAGAGAGATTGTTCGATATCAAGGAGTTCACAAACAAAATATTAGACAACAGCAATTTTGTGTGATATGAATTGGCTTTTATCATAAACAAGAGGAGAAAAACTATATACGAACACAAAATTATTCTCCTTAAATGTCATCATATAGGCACATATATTCATCAGGAAGAAGCACAGTAGAAACTACAAAAAATAATTTCATTAATAGTGAAATAAGCATGTAACAAGCATAGAAGATAAGTACAACATGGCAATTACATAAATCCAAATTGAACAGTGTCTAACTAAAATAAGTTCCTGCAAAAACTGCAAACAACTAAGGAAACAATGATGAAAAAGGAGAAACACATGCCAACTTCAAAACACAAAAAAAAGGAATGGATATAAAGTTGATAGTGCATATGGTTCATATTTACCCTTCCCAATGATTTTCAACGCTCATGATTTACATAAGATAGAATGGATACTAATGACATCTAGGTTCAAACCAATACCCTGCTAGCCAAGGACAACAACAAAGAGTCTTAAAGAAACTACTCTGGGTTGGCTATGGGAATGCTTTTCCAACAATGACACTGAACAAATTTGCTTCATTCTTCTTTTCTTTTTTAATTATCTTTGAAAATTTGCTACCTTATGTCGCAGCTACAAATTAGTTTGACTCATCACTAGTCCCCTCTAACAGATACATATTGGAACTGTCTGCAAAATCAAGGATGCCACAGTTGCAGCTTCAAAAGTAGAGACAACTTTTAAACAGGGACTCCTAGAGCCCATAAGGCCACATATTCAGCAAAACAACTACAGTAAATTGATGCCAGTAATATTTACATGTAGATCAAGCCAGTTGACACAGTTAAAAAAGCAGGTCACATGAGGTAATCACAAGTATTTCAGATGGATGAGGCTAGGAGTTGCTATTTGTTTCTTTTTTCCTCTTTCCCTTCAACACTATCAACGTAGACTATGCTACCTGATCAAATCTGGAGAGCTAACTGGCCTCTAGAGTTATTTCTCTTTTGTGCTCAGATTAGCAAGGTTTTGGTTGTACTATGCTTCAAAAGTAATTTAATTTACCTTCTACTCCAAAAAAAGGTGGACTAGACTACCAGCATCATGCAAACAATAAATAATTCATCGCTATATTAGAAGTTTAAACTCTTCATCTTATAGATTGTCTGAAATATCATGTAAGTGTCAGAATTATTTAATTTGCTAGGTTTCTTGAAATTTGAGAAATTTAGTTCTCTGTAAGATATTTCATAATATTCATAGAATAAACATAATTTAATTGTTAAGACATGGCTACCTCTTTATTTTAGCCACAAAGTAAAAGCAGCTATCGATCAAAGAAATCTAATAAACCTAATCTCCTATGCTAAAACTTCTTGTCTCAGATTCTGGCATGACTTTCTTGCATAGCATATAGCCTCGTATAAACTAATCTATAATCCTAAGGACATTGTTCTAACATTTCTCAATCAATCGAATTCTTTTCCCGCTATGTTCTACTATCATGTAAGCTCGGACACAATTGGCTACTGTTCTCAGGATTTCATTATCTTTTTAACTTGAAGATATGGTTCTCTCGCTATCTTACTCACTTGACAGTTAAATTGATAATACCTACCATATACCTTAAGATATCACAAGTTGCAATGACCTCCCCATATAATCACAGTACTCCGTTCGTAACCTAATCGGGCATCATTACCTGAAGTCAGATGTCTAAATCTCATGATGTATTCATATAAGAAGATGGCGTTAACTCGAGAAGAGGAAGCCTCAAAATAGCCATGAAGGAACGACAAGAGTCAAACAGCACCAAAAACCATCACCAGCAGCATCGCGATTGTCACCTGGGGAGCGAACATGAGAGGGGATCGGGAGCGGCCGGGGCTCTCCGGCGGCCAGCTCTCGACGGAGTCGACGGATCGGACGCGGCGGACGTTGGTGGAGCCGGGATCGGCGTCGGATCTCGATCGAACGGAGGCGTCCTCGTCGCCGCCGTCCTCGACCCCATCCCTCCCGCTCACGTTCCCCATCTCCTCCCTTACTCCCCCCCTGAATGGGATCCGAGTCTCTCTTTACCGGGGTCTGCAGATGCGACGACCGCCGGGAAGTGGTTTCCGAAAGGAGGCGGTGGTGATGGTGTCGCGGAGATTCGACTTATAGGGAGGGGTTAAGATCCGACAAATTCTTAAATAAACCACGCAATACTAGGGACCGGTTCGACACCAATTGAACCAGACCGGTTGAACCCGAACCGAACCCGACCGTGTGTAAAACCACGGCTTGGGTTCAAGTTGGATTTTATTTAATGGTGAAATTTTCAAATACATATTTCTCTTTTTTTAATATAAATTTATATTTAATATATATATGATAGAGTGGATGTTAGCACACATAACATAAGAAATCTATTATGATCAATGGGATGACTCAAATGTTCACTCGAGAATTGATATGCTCATCATGCGATCAACCTACATGAAGATTAAGGTAATAATTTTAATAAACAGTTATAATTTAGTGGACTTTTTTAATATATTTAACTTGAAAAATATTTTGAAGCATGAATAAAATATTTCCTTACTATTTATTTTTCGTCCTTCTCATGCTTATTGGGTTGTCATGTATTAATTAATCTTTATGGATAGGAATATTTTTTCCATCAATGTACATTAAAAATGTATAGGTAGATCATTATAATTAGATTATATGAGCTCGTCTTCCCAAGGTGTCAAGCAACGTGCTTCAACTTGTTGGTCTTAAGCTTTGGAATCATTTTTTTTCCCTGTGTTGTCTAAGAATGCCTCTTAACGAGACTAATCTTGGTACTGGGTTGGTATCATTTCCACCATAATATGGCACTATTAGAACATAAACATAAATGGGTAATTTACTAAAACAAATCTGTTGTATTAAGTTTTTATTAAAGCAAATATATGGGTAATTCAAGCCACATATCAGTCGATTTAGTCTGGTTTGGACGATTCAAATCAAATTGTTTTGGATCGATTAACTTCTCAAGAACTATGAGATCATTATATATATATATATATATATATATATATTAGAGTAATTAATTTCTTAAATAGAATATTTTTGGTTGAATCTGTTATCAAGTGTAACTCCTTGAATTTTTATCAAATCTATCTAAATTTCTTTTGAACTACTGCGATGAGATGTGAATATATTTATTATTTTTATTATTTTTATATGAATTTAGGATGATTACTTTTTAAATAGAATATATTTGTGTTGAATTTGAGTGTTACTAATTTATTTTTTTACGAAACTCATCCAAACTTCTCTTGAACTACTAGAGTAAAATAATAATATATTTATTATTATTATTATTATTATTATTATTATTTGTATGTATTTAGGATGATTATTTAAAAAATATATATTTTTGTGTTAAATCTACGATCGAGTATAACTCGAGTGTAACTTTTTTAAATTTTCACCAAACATATCTAAATTTCTATAGAACTATTAGGGTGAGATGTTAATATTTTAATTATTCTTATTTTATTTTTTATATGAATTTAGGATGATTAATTTTTGAAATAAGATATTTTTTGTGTTGAATCTTTGATCGAATATAACTCTTTGAAGTTTTACGAATTCTATCCAAATTTCTCTAAAACTATTAAGGTAAGATATTAATCTATTTATTATTATTATTATTATTATTATTATTATTATTATTATTATTATTGTATGATTTAGGATGATTAATTTTTGAAATAAAATATTTTTTGTGTTATCGAGTGTAACCCAAATGTAATTCGAGTTAAATTACAGTATAAAGTAATTAAGTTTTCATATAAGGTATTTTTGGGTTGAATATATAATTAAGTATAACTTGAGTCAAGATATTTGACATAATTAGAGAGGAAGGAGGAGGTAGAGGTAAAGTGGGAAGGCGCGGACGAAGAAGCCAATAGAGATGAGGCGATGGCAAAGTGGGAGAAGGTGAGAAGAAGGCGAAGTCGAGGTGGAGGAGGTGGGGATGATTTAGGAACCAAGGTATTGGGAGAATTCAAGGAGAAAAAAAAAATAATTTAGAATTTAAATTGAATAAATCAAATATTTAGATTTTTATTGAACTGATCTAATTTAGTAAATTCAAACAAACTAGTTCAACCCAAATAACCCAGAGTCAACCAGGATCAATTATTTCGATTGTCTTTTTTTTTATTTTATAAAAGATATTTTGATCTAGTATGTAAAAAAAAATATCCCCGATAAAAATCAATTGAGAACTTCTTTGGATAAATTACCCAACAAAAACTAGAAAAAAAGAAAAAGAACATAGACAATAAATTAGAAAGAAAGAAAAAGAACATAGACAAAAAAAAAAAAAGATTTAGCTATGGTTAGATCAATGGAACAACATGGTCCATAATTTGTTAGTCTCTTTTGTGCACATTTTCTATCCATATATCTAACTATCACTATTAATTTTCTTTTCTACATGAAATTAATCCACACATATTTAAAAGAATGAAACTTAATCATCATCTAGGTCGTACAAGATCATGCAACCCCTATGAGGTATCACATTCGTTAATATTATTTTAAGCTATCATCAGATAGTTACAAAGCTTTTTAGGAAGAGAAATCTGCAAATCATAAATTGTAATGGCTTGATCTTATCTACTACATCAGGGAAGGCATCAACTGTTTGCTCATTCATGCCTTCAAGCATGCGCTTCAATGGTCACTGGATCTTACTTTGGAGTTAGATAGAGTCAGAAATGGTTTGAAGGTCAGTACGAACCCAATCAATGTACTCACATTGAGTACAAAGAAGATCATATGGTCGCCTGCGTCCCAACACAATAATCAGTATGAAATCTTATGATGTTATTTTCAGATTAATCAAACGGAATCAAACAAGTTTGAGAAAAAAAAAAAGAAGAAGCAATTGAAGCGGATTCCTTGAATTTTTACCCATGGTTAAAGTTAACCATGAAGTAGATGTACATTGATCTGTGATGCATATCGATTGTGAATATGTTTACATTTCAAATCTAAAGAATTAGCATAAGATCCTACAATCATTTATTTATGAAATGGAAGAGAGCTAAAAGGGTACGCTTGATAGTATCCAATATTGCTACAAACAATTCAGAGTAGGTAGATGAGTTCAGATGATTTCCAAGTATCATGAGATCATGATCAGATTAATTGGTGATTAATTTACATGGCAAATGTTAGGTATTAAACAAAAAATTATGGACTTTTGCAATGTCTGATGAATAATAGAGGCTTTTGCAACGAGACAAAGCTTCAAAGAGAAACAAGTTATACCTGATAAGAAGGAAGCCTGTTGACGCTTTTGTGCCCATGAAAATCTGCAAATACACATCAAATTACAAAAAAAATTAAAAAAAAATCAGAACAGTTGTTCATTGGATTGTCATTTATTTGTTCCCTACATATGCCAACAGTAGTTCATTTGAAGTTCACATCAACTACTAACAGGATGTGTGGTGATGATTTATTGAAGAAATCAACCGAGCATCTTTAGCTTTAAAAGAAAATCATATCCTCTGAAGTCTAATAATAGTTAAATAAGAATTAAGGTGACTATTTATTGCAAATATTGAAGTGTTTTCACCTGTCCAATTAAGTAATATACTACAAGTTCAACTAATAAACCACCAACCTACTTATGCTTGGATCAAATAGTTATACAACACCTAGGGGGAAAAAATATGATAAATCAGCGTAAACTATCATGCTGCAAAACCTCACTAACATACAACTTCTTTGAGAACAAATTATTCACATCAACAGCAATTTTTTTCCTTGTAACTATCTACTTGCGAAGTAGAAGAGAAATTCATTTAAGTTTTTGTTTAATAATTTGGATTATGAATGGAAGTCAGGCTTCAAGCAGTTCAACCTGTGTATATAGACACACACATCCACCGATAGCTTTTGAGTTGAATATTATAAAATTAAAGAATCACAGAAAGACAGAAACCTAGATATAAAAATATAAGCAGCACAAAAAAGAAGTGATTTTTCACAGGAACTTTTTTGTTTGATTTTTGATATGTACCATCCACTTACATCATCAGGTATGGATTAACAAAACCTAATACGCGGAATACTTACAAAGCCCCTGCGGTTGCTGGAGCAATAGCTTTGGAAAGAGACAATGCAGTGACAGAAACACCATTTGCGCACCTCTTTGATGTTGAGACTGTCATATGCGAATATTAAGAATTTGCAGTTGAAGTAAGCTAACATTTGTAAAAAGAGTAGAGGATCACCACAGCATTATTCTGCAGGATGTTGAACCCAGTGGTGATAGTTACCTGATTCAAATTTGGTTAGCTTGCATTAGAACAATCTCCTGAAAAGGATGATTGGAAAATAGTGTTTCTTAATGGAAGTCCTCAAGTTTAAATTTCTATGATACATTTTTTAGTTTCATGATGCTCTTGTGGTAACGTACTGCTGGAAAGAAGGATTAAAATAATGACCTAGATTAGTTATATCAACATGTATTTACCAGTCCAACTCCATACCATTATGCAGTAAACCGATCACACCAAAATGCCAAGAAAAAGGTCATCCAGTTCACAAGTCACTCACCAATATTGTGTCTATTTTTCCAGTGTTGTGGTAATGTCATGCCAGTGCAACAGTACGTTGATAATTTTTTTATATACTGGAATTTAAATCATTGGTAGGAGTTTCTTTGGTTCAGAAGTCCAAGATCACATATAACTAAATAATACTTAAATAATCAAAGATATTCACAAAAGAAAATGAAATATAAATGATCGACTGTCATATCAAATTCTAATTACAGAAATGTTGGTGTTATTTTATGGTTGTGATGGTGTTCTCATTCAAGTATGATCATTCAGCATCAAAGTACTTTCATGCAGGATAGAAACTATAGATTCAGATGGAAAGCCACCTATAAATAGATAAGATCAACCTCCTATTTTACAAGAAACCAACATTAAGCATAAAATTTTCATAAACCTGATAAATCTCTATTTAGTTGTTGGAGATTTGGCCTAGATTCTGGATGGATCCTAGTTACGTAACCAGCATGAGTATATTAAGTTGTTTTGGTAAAAATTATCTACATTCACTATAATGGTAAACTATGTTGGATGTGTATTTGATATCATGTTAGCATAAAAATATTGTTACACCTACTTTACCCTTCATTTAGTGTTATGAGGCAAGGGAATACTCACGGAAATAGCACTCTTCAGGAGTGATGCACAGTTCACAACAAAGAAAAGTTTTAATCCAGAAAGCTTAGACATAAATGGATAACTGGTGAGCAATGGTATAGAAAAAATCTGCACATAGAACATGACTGTCATTGATAAATACCAAAATCTCATGATAAGAAATGACCACAAATGGATGTCATTGTTGCATACCGCTGCAGCACGCAATGAACTGATGGGTCCTAGATACTTCTCAAAGCATGGATAAAGAAATAGTTGATAAACTAGGAGACTCAAACCTGGTAATGAACAAGCAGCTTCATATTTAGCAAATACTAATTCTAACTACTATCAGCAAATATATTAGCATGTATTATCGAGTACATGAATATACATATAAGAAAAGCTAATAGACTTATGATTCTCAAAGCCTCTTCTTTTTCATATATATTCCAAAAAAAGTTTGAAGGTTTTTAATATACACCCATCAACAGTCTAAAAATCAAAGTTGCATGCATCACTTCCTTCTGCGCTGCATCAAAAAGCGTCATCCTCCCTTGGCCAGCTGATTAAATATAAATGCAATTTGATCATCGACATATATATTTTTCCATCTTTCCATATAACTTGTGCCATGAGACAAAGATGCACTTTGCAGTTTTCCAAAACAAAGAAATTAAGCAACTTCCTAACAAACTAGATGTGGTTTACATTGGTGTACAAAATGGGAAATTGATATATAATGTTCAAAAGATTTCTTCTAAACAGTGGGGCAAGTGTTAAAATGTATTGAGCAAAAAAAAAGTAGTACCCCTCTCGATGACTCCAACAGATGCCCCATTGTTCAAGTGAAAATAGGGCTGGCTATTCAAGATTTTTAAGAACAAAATATGCAAGTTCGTTTCAGAGAATTCAAACTAAGCAGATAAATGTATTTTTAAGTTGTAGATAAAAAGTTGTAGATAAAAAGACATGCAATTAACTCAGTTCATTATGCAATCTAAATAGTTTTTTTTTTCAGCAATCTTACTAGTTAATTGCAGACACATATACTACCAATTTAATACTGACTGACTGTCACATGTCACTACTCCTAGAATCTTTCATTACCAATTTACCTGAGATTGCAAGTACTTCACCAACTTCCTGAGATGAAAAGCTCAATCCACCATATGTTTTGTTGCTCACAGCCCACAAGGAGAATATCTGAAACATTGTAAGATGTTAACTTCTCGCCGGGATATGCAGATAAGAAGGAAAGAAAGAAGGAGAACAAATTTCTAAGTGGCACTTAGAAAAGATGGCCAATGCCTCATGCACTCAAATCTGATGTATGTCAAATCAGATGCTTCCCAGATTCACATTGGTTACTTGAGGATAATCAGTGAATGCTTCTGAGGAAAATTTTGTCATTCTTGAGTGTTGATATTTTCATGATGTGTAAGATGTATAAATGATTAGATACTTGATATTATTTATATTGGAAACATGTAGTCTATGATGAAACAAAATATTTGATTTCATCTTACTTCTTTCCTTATACATTCTTGTTACATACTATACAATTTGGCTTTGTCATTAACGAAATTTTTTTCATTGAATAATAGGTAAGTCACGTGCATTAATTACTCTTTTATAAATGATAAAAATTTGCTATTACATCTCATCACTTATGATGACATATTGTAATAATGTAAATATCAAAGTATGCACCATATCACAGTGCCATGCATCATAGAAATTTAATCATATTTTTAGAAATTATACTGAAGAACATGTATTCACAAAAAGCCATGCTACCTCAGCATATGCTGTGTCTTGAAGGGCAAAAGCACAATAGACAATGATTGCTGACATTAAAGGCCGATTCTTTATCAAGCTTTGCTTAGATGCCAACATTGTTCCTTCAATTTCATCATTATATTTTTTTGTTTCACATCTTATTAGTGAATCCTCCAGATCTTCAATTTCCCACTTATCGTGCATGTGCAAAGTCTCCTACAGAAGAATACAACACAAATCATAAAGTCATAAGTGGACCAACTTCATCATGTATGTCATGAATGTAACTTGTTACAGTATGAGCTAATAAAAAATGAATGTCGGGATGGAGATATTATGATGAATATCATGAAATGAATCCACTTTTATTGGAACATACAGAGATGGAAGCTTAATACTCCTAAATGTGTGAATGATCAAGAAAATGAAAAATACTGATGGGATGAAAATTCGATATCAGTTTTGACTTTTGGTGATTTCAATGCAATAATCTCTTAAAAATGGAATATCAGGAATAATTATCCTTCATTTTAATCTTAGGCTATCTAGAACATTGAATCATGTTTCACAATTTATATCATAAACAAATCAATTGGAAACATAATGATTGCATATTGTTTTTGCTAAGAAGTGCAAATAATTTAGGAAAAGTCTGGAAATTTCCAATGACTGTAAAAATCAGGGAATCATTAATGCTTTAAAAGCAACTCATGCTTATAGATATGATGGAGGTATAGCTTATGAGAATTAAAAGGTATAGCTGTAGTTTAGATTGCTCGTAAGATTGTTACAAGTCCAAACACCATCCTGCTTTTCAAAAGAACTAAATTTCAAAAGAACTAAACTAAGAGGCACAAAGTAGTGTAACTTACAGGAAGCCAGAAACAGGCAACCAATGCCCCAGTTGCTATGAGAGAGATGCAAAAGCAAGGTAAAAAGTAAGGAAACCTGCAGTTGATTGCTGAATTTATCATTAAGAGTGAGAAAGTATAGAAGTCTAATTTATTGCTATATTTCTAGTTTTACCTGCCAAACAATGACTTTATGGAGAAGATATTCGGATATTTCTTTGCAGGCTGATGTAGTATGCACCCATAGAAATTTGTAAATTAGTTAAGATCATGCAATATATGGAAGAGAAACAGAGCATGCAGAAACTATAACATAAGCAATTGCAAGAAATAGCAGGCAAAAAGTGTGATCATAAGCATATCCTAATCACAGAAACCCATCTGCAATTTCTTTTACTGTATTCATTGATTTGCAAAATGCTATATTCCCACGTTAATGAAACTCGAAATGAGGTAACTTTGTAATAATCTAAATGAAAATTTAAAAGTACTAAAACAAAAGCATCAAAAACTTGAAGCAAACATATAGCAATATGAGATTTGCTGACTTCAATATGCAGAAAGCCTATGCATACATCAAAAATGAGTAAAAGCTCAACTACTCAGGAAACTACTATCTCCTGACCTTATGAAATATATTGCTTAGCTGTCAAAGATAATCTGTTACTATAGCCTTTTCCCTGGAATGGGTGTTTGTGTTGTGAACTATTATTGAATTTTCTTTGGTAAAAGTGTAAAACTACTTTATTTCTATAGTTATGGGAGAAATGACAATTGATTTACCATATACAAATTCAAATTATTATAAAATCTTGTTAGATTAAATTACAATTGATTGCTCAAAGGTAACTAGTACTGCAAAATTTCTTTAAAATTGTTCCCTAAGAAGAAGTACTAATACGAACAAACTTAATATTAATTTAATCATCAAAAATAAATTTGATGTATCTAACAGTGTATTTCTGACCGTCTCTCATGTAGCTTTTTGATGGATCAGACTAACAATCAGTACCTGAGCAAAGAAACCTCCAATAGCTGGACCAACAATTAAACCTATACCTCGTGTTGAACTAACCTGGAAGTATTTAATTCGACATTAAAACAGGAAAATGACCAATAAATCGTAGTACATGGAAAGATAGTTAAGAAAGGGTATATCAGAAGGTTCTTACAAGAGATAATCCTAGAGCTTGATATTCTTTTCGGCAAACTTCTGAAGCATAAGCCTGTGTTGAATTCCACATCAAGCTTCCAATTAGAAAGTATGGCATCAATGAATCATAAGCTATTTGAATTTTGAACACCAATTGAGCAGATACCCTTATTGGACCAAGCAAACCATTAAAACATCCAAGAAGTAATCTTGAAACAAGTGCCATCCAGTAACTTGTGCTAAGCCCAAACATAGTGTTAAATAATATTCTGCAAAGACTAAGTCAAGATCAGGACAATGGGGAAAGTAACACAACAATCATAGAACCAACCAAACTTCTCCAAGATTAAAGTAATTTTCAGTTATGAATAAGGCATTGAATAATTCTTACACGGAAATAATACTAATGACTATAACTGGTTTCCTTCCATATCGATCTGCCACAATTCCCCAGAATACTGAAGTCAGAACTCTTCCAATCATAAATGCAGATCCTTCAAGAGGGACAAAAAAATAAAAACAAAAGTCTCCACTCTCTACAAATATTCAATTCAACCATTATACTTTAAGGAAAAATAACCTTTAAGGAAAGATAATTTGTTGTATCGCTTTGAGAAGTGAAGAGTGCCAAAGAAAGAAAGAGAGTAATTGCAATGTGTTTTCTCCATATATATAAAAAAAGAAAAGAATACAGCAAGTACTCACCTACAAAACCAGCATAAAATCCAATATCTTCTTCTCTTTTGGCAACATGTAAGTCTTGTGTCTGCAAAAGAAAACAAGGAAGAAGGTAAATGAAATAGTTTTCATGACAATTTGTCAAATATCTAGAGATAATAAATAATGAGAAAATTTACGGTGGCCATCTCTTTTGAAAGTCTAATGTCTTCAAAATTAGGGCATAACACAATTATAAGAAGCCATTCCTCAATTCAAAAGAATTAGTAAAACATTCAGAACTAATCAGTCTACACGGAATGTAAAACAGCACACCAGCATTAGCACATATAATGCTAATGTGTCATTTCATTTATCCAAATAGTATTATTCTTTGAATAGGAATTGAGTCAATGTACATATATGTATATATACATATATGTATATATATATACATTTATATATATACTGATGTACATATATACATATATATATATATATATATATATATATGTATATATATNTGTGTGTGTGTGTGTGTGTGTGTA